TATTTTATTTTATTTTTTTTTAGCTGTGTTCATGATACTAACCTGCAATTTTCTTTCTTAGTAATATCTTTATCAACTTTCATTATAATGATTGGCTTGCTACTTTAGTCAGCCTTTTGATGCTATGACCACAATATCCAATAAGAACAGTTCAGAGAAGGAAAAGTTTATTTTAGTCTCATGGTTTCAGAGGTACCAGGTCCATAGATGCCAACTCTTATGCTCTTGGATCAAGGTGAGGCAGCACATCATAGGGTTAAGTGCCCAGTGGAGGAAAGCTCCTCAGCTTATAGTGGTATAAGGAAGTGGAGAGGGGCTACAGGGAAGATGTACCCTTCCAGGGCATGTCCCCAGTAACCCAACTCCTCCAGCCACACCCCACCCGCCTATAGTTATCACTCAGTCCATTCAAATAAGGATGATTAGGTCACAACTTGCATAATCCAATCATTTTAGTCTAAATATTGCTGCATTAGCAGGAGCTTTTGAGGGACAGTTCAAATCCAAACCATAACACTTGGCTTTATTGAATGGGTTGATAAGTATTTATTTTTATGTTCCAAAAGAATTTATATAAGAATTTTAATTTTTGTTCCTTGAATATTTTAAACAGTGCATTAGTGAATCCAGTTGGGCTTGGAGTTTTCTTACAGGTTTAATTTTTTTCATAGTTCTGAGAATAAAGGTTTTTTGTTTTGTTTCTTGTTTCAGTTTTAGTGAATTGTGTTCTTCAGGTAATTTTTTAATTCTGTACTGCATTGAAATAAAATTGATCATAATAATCCTGAGAATCTTTTTGTCCATAGACTGTGTAATCTTTTTTGTCTGTAGACTTTCTAGTTTTAACTCTTCTGTTTTTTCTTGATCAGTCTTGTTTAAGGATTACTCATTTTATTAGTCTTTCAAAGAATCAACTTTTGTCTTTCTTTGTTTCCTTTATTGTATATCTGCTATTTCATTATTAATTAAAAATTTTCTTTACATTTTCCTTGAGTTAGTTTACTAGTTTTTTTAGCTTGTTGTCATGGAAAGTTAGTATATTGATTTTTAAATTTGTGTTATTTCCATTGTTAGGCGTTTATAGCTATGAATTTTGCTCTAAATAGTGGTTTAGGTGTATCCCACACATTTGTATCTGTTCTATTTTCAGTATCATTCAGATAAAAATATTTTCTCATTTCCACTGTGATATCATATATTTGATATGAGTAATTAAGAATTGTGTTTCTTGAGTTCTAGACATTGGGAACATATCTAGTTGTCTTCTAGTACTTGATTTTTTAGTGTGATTCTGTGATTGTTACAAAGTATGTAATTCATAGTTTAAATTCTTTGTATTTGTTGAGAGTTGCATTGTCTAGCATTTAATCTCCTGGTAAATGTCTTATGTGAGCTTGAAAGAATGTGCATTCTCTAATTGTTGGATTTAATGTTCTATTGGAATTTTTGAAATTGGAAAATTGTTTGTATCTGTATATCATGATTGTTTTTGCTTATTCTACCAGTTACTGAGAAGGGTTTGTTAAAATTGTCAGCTGTGAGTATGGATTTATCTACTTTTCTTTTCGTTCTTTCGAATTTTGCTTTATGTATTTTAAAAACCATTATTTGTTGCAGTACTGGGGATTGAATCCAGGGCCTCACATATTAGATGAGTGAGGGGCTTCCCAGTCCTTTATTTTGAGACAGGGTTCTCACTAAGTTGCCCAAGCTGCCCTCAAACTTGTGATCTTTCTGCCTCAGCCTCCTGAGGGAGTAGCTGGGATTACAGGAATGTACTACCATGCCTGGGTCTTTTCTTTTAAAAATACTTCTTTTGTCTCTGTCTCTATTTCAATATCTCTCATTTATTTCTGAGTCAACAATTTTGACATGTGAGACATTTTATTTAGTTACTTTTATGTTGTCTTGTACAGTTTTCCTCTTTTTTTTCTTTTTATAGTTCAGTATAATTATTTTCTACTCTTTTCCAGTTTACTAACCTCCCTTTAACTACGTCCATTTAACTCCATCTAGTGAGTTAATGTCAGATAATTTTCAGTCTTAGAATGAACATTTGTTTTTAACAGATTCCAATTCTCTTGTTGAAATTCATTTTTTATCTCTTTTTACTGATTTTCATATCTTAAAATCTGTTTTTCTCTTTCATTTTATTGAATGTATAAATCATAAATGTTTTAAATTTAACTGAAATTACCAGTTTGTGTATCTCTCCCCTTGCTTTGCCCTGGCAAGTAATTACTTGTAATCCATCTGATCTTGGAGAGGGCTTTCTTTCTATAGAGCAGAGACTAGTTGGTTGCCTGCCCTGAAACTTCACTTATATGATGTATTCTAGAAAATATGATTTTTGCCTTTTCTTCTTGTTGGACTGGTGTGGTTCTGTTTATAGCTTAGTACATCATAATAGAAGCTGCATTATAAGTAATACAAGTAACAGTAAGTGTTGGTGAGGATGTGGGGAGAAAGGTATTGTCATACATTGTTGGTGGGACTGCAAATTGGTGTAACCACTATGGAAAGCAATATGGAGATTCCTTAGAAAGCTTGGATGCAGTTTTCCCACTCCTCTGTCTACACCAAAGGACCTAAAATGAGCATACTACAGTGACAACAGCCACATCCATGTTTACAGTTAAAACTCACAATAGCCAAGCTATGGAAACAAGCTCAGTGTCCTTCAACAGATGAATGGATAAAGAAAATGTGGTATATAGTAACATGGGATATTACTCAACCATAAAGAAGAATGAAATTATGGCATTTGCCAGGAGATGAATGAAACTAGAAAATATCATGCTAAGTGAAATAAACCGATCCCAGAAACCAAAGGCCAAAAGTTCTCTCTGATTTGTGGATGCTAACCCCAAACAAGGGAGGCTGAGGAGGGGAATAATAGAAATCCTTGGGACTAGACAAAGGGAAATGAAAGAAGGAAGAGTGGAATAGAAAAGGCTGTAGAATGAATTGGATATACCTTTCCTAGTCTTGTATTTGTGTACATGACCAGGGTAACTCCGCATCATGTACCACCACAGAATGGAACCTAAATAGAATAAGTTATACTGTATGTATGAATATTCTGCCAAATATTAAAAAAATAGACCCTGCAAATGCACCATAGCCATTTTAACATCCCTTTCTGGTAAGGCTCAAATCTGAATTAATTGTGTATCTCTCTGTTTTGCTTTTGTTTCCCCAAACCGCCCCCCCCTACCTTTTTTGTTAAAGCATGGCTCATAATGTTTACTTGATATAAGAAGAGTCTGGGGAATGTTTTTTCCTCTAAAGAGAGCTAATTTTTCCTCTAGAACTTCTGATCTTGCAAGGCTTAGTTTTAGACTTATTGGAGTTTTTTTTTTTTTTTTAAATTTTATTTGTCCTTCCTCCTAAGATACTGCTTTTGTAGGGTTTGAGTTGAGGGCTCAGGGTTTTTAATGCTCCTCTATCTTGGCAGGGTTTGTCAACTTCTGTCTTCTCAATGTTGCTGAACTGTTGTGTCTACTAGACTTTTTATTTAGTTTCTTATGGTTTTCTTGGTGTCTTTGACTACATACTTGTAAACTTGGGAAGCTATTAATGATTTAAGAGGCTCTTTCTCTATAAGTCTTTTTTTACACCAACTCCTCATCTGGTTTGATTATCCCTATGTATAATCTATACCTCCTCAGCCTGCTGAGATTATTTTATTATGCTTGGCTGTCTTTTCTGTCATTGATTCAGAAATTTCTTTTTATATAAAATAATGATTAAATGTGGAATTTACTTCATTGGGCTTTCCTCCTTTCAAAGATTATAATCTTTGGGCACCCAGCATTTCAGGAGGCTGAGGCAGGAGGATTTCAAGTTTAAAGCCAGCCTCAGCAACTTAGTGAGGCACTCTGTCTCTAAATAAAATATTAAAAAAAAGGCTGGAGATGTGGCTCAGTGGTTGGGTGCACTTCTGGGTTCAATCCTTAGTACCAAAAAAATAAATTAAAAAAGGGTACAGGGGCAAGTGATGGGGTCCACACCTGTAATCCTAGTGGCTATAGAGACTGAGGCAGAAGGGTCGTGCCTTCAGTGCCAGCCTGAGTACCTCAGCGAGGCCCTAAGCAACTCAGTAAGGCCCTGTCTCTAAATAAAATATGAAAAAGGGTTGGAGATATGACTCAGTGGTTAAGCACCCCTGGGTTCAATCCTTAGTACCAAAAACAAAACAAAACAAAAAACAAAAAACAAACAAACAAAAAAACCCCAAAACAAAAAAGATTATAATCTTGGGAATCTCACTTGGATCGATTGCTTTCCTGTACCTTTGTACAAATAGTTTTATGTGTTGTCCAGCAACACAGAATTGTTCTCATTGAGAGCGCTGGTTTAATGCTCTCTGCTCTATAGATTGGTACTGGAAATACCTTATTTCTTCTTCCTCTTGCAGTTTTACTAAGCTTAGCACAGCTCTGTAGGTATTGATGCCAAGTAAATAATAGCTGTTGGAAATTTTTTCTTGCTTTATATTGTGTTTAATAGTTAAAAATTATTTCATATATATAATTACCATCTATCAAAGAAGTTAAATAGCTCTAAGCCATATTTTTATCTCCTGGAGTAAATTCAGGTGTTTGGTACATCATAAGAGATCTCTGAAAGCCGTAGGAATGTAGGGTTGGTGCTAACCACTTTAAATTGCTGCTTCTCTTCCTCTTCTTCCTTCTCCTGCTCCTTTTCCTCCTCCTCTTCTTCCTCCTCCTGCTCCTTTTCCTCCTCCTCTTCTTCCTCCTCTGTTCTTTTTAGTTATACATGACAGTAGAATCTATTTTGACATATTTATATAAACATTGAATATATCTTATTCTAATTAGGATCTCAGTCTTGTGGATATACATGATGTTGAGGTTTTAAGTTCTTTTAAGTAAGCCTAAAATCAAACACAATTTTTCTCCTCTTTGAATTGTGTTTATTGGAAAGATTTCATAGAAATGAAAATTCTTATCAGCATCTCTTGTTTTAATTTCTAGGAAGATGAAGTCCTCAGTACATTCTGAAGAGGATGATTTTGTTCCAGAACTGCATAGAAATGTTCACCCTCGAGAGCGGCCTGATTGGGAAGAAACACTTAGTGCAATGGTAAATCAGTTTTATACATATGTACACTGTACTTATACAAGTAAAAGGAAGTGGGGAAGCATACTCACAGAAGAAAGTGCAATTTTTTTTTGCTTGTTTATTCAGGAAATACTTTTTGAACAAATACTTGAATCAAATAAAAGGAACTGGGGAAGTATACTCACAGAAGAAAGTGCAATTTTGGGGGGCTTGTTTATTTGTTCAGGAAATACTTTTTGAACAAATACTTGAATCCAGGCACTGCTCTAGATTCTGGGGAGAATAATAGGGTTATAGAGTGGTAGGATATAGTGTGAAAGAATATGGCTGGTTACATAGGGTGGCCACAGATTGCCTCTATGAGGAAGTAAGATTTGAGCAGAGGCCTGAAGGATGTAATGAAGTAAGTACTGTGTTATTTGGGATCACATCATTTTAAGCAGTGGAAGAACAAGTTTAAGACTATGACAAAGGATTAAAAAATAAGATGGAAGAAACACAAGTAACACAGTGTAACTGAAATTGAATGCTTCAGGGTAAGAAGAGGAGGAGATGAAGTTGAAGAAATGGTTTAAGTAGGTAGAAAGCAGATCCCATGGTTTCTTGCAATCCACTGATAAGGACTTCGTTGTGTATGCAGGATTTTAGTCAGTTTTTATGAAACCATAACCAAAATACCTGACAAGAACATCTTAAAGGAGGAAAAGTTTATTTGGGACTCATGCTTTCAGTCACTAGACTGCTGACTCCATTGCTTTGTGCCCAAGTTAAGGCAGCACATTGTGGGGGAAGGGCCTAGGAAAGGAAAGCTGCTCAGTTCCTGTGGGATCAGGAAGCAGAGAGGAAAGAGGCTGTAGGGAAGATGCACCCTTCCAAGGCATGCTGCTAGTGGCCCATTTCCTCTAGTCACATCCCACCTGCCTACAGTTACTACCAAGTCCATTCAAACTAGGATGGACTGACTAGGTTGCAGCTCTTATAGTACAATCATTTGAACTCTGAATATTTCTTCAGTAACACCAAAGCTTTGGGAGGATACCTCATATCAAAAGTGTAACATTGAGCGAGATGGAAGCTACTGAGGATTTTGGGCTGAGGAGTAACATGATCTGGCTTGAAATTTTAAAGGAAATCTTAGTTTGCATTAAGTTCAGGGAGCAAAAGAAGAAGTAAGGAGACTATTTAGAAAAGTTGTTATAATAGGAGAGCAGAGTTGGTAGCTTGAATCAGGATGGTAGTAAATATGGTTAGAGTTGTTTATTAGATTCTGCATATATTTTAATGGATAAAAACGTGAGCAAAGAAATGTGAGATAAATAGATGTCAAGGATGACTTCAGTTTTTTTTTGTTCTTATTAGCCAGAAGAATGGAATGTACATTTACTGAGTTGCTAGAAAAGTGGTTTTGTTGAGGATTTTTTGAAAAAGTCAACAGTGTTATTCCACAAGATATGTTTGAGCTATCTGTTTAATTTCTTAAAACTTTTTGTGATTTAGGTTTATTATTATTAATTTTTTTGTGGGAGAAGACATTTTACATAATTTTGGTTAAAAAGTTAGTATCTCTATCATCAAAATTTAATGTAAATGTTCATCTATCATGCTGATCTAAGAGACTTTTTATATTTCAATTTCCTTTCATTATGATAGGTTCTATAAATACTGATGTCAGGTCATAAGCATATGATTTTAATTGAGCATTTTCATCACTTGGAAAGTATCTGTAGGGTTCTGTTTGAGTCTCTTCTTTGTATTTACCTTTTTGCATTAATCACTTCTAAGTGAAGGTTAAATGAAAACTCCTTGATTGAATTATTAATTGGAGTTTGCAATATTAAAATTTATTTTGTACTTGCATTGTGATCTGAACAATCCTACTGTGCCTGTAGTTAGGTTGAAAAATATAATCACTGCAAATTTGTATGGGAATGAAAATTCTCCCTTCTTATTTTAACATTTGATAGCTTCGCAAGTATGTACAGTAGCTTGTGATTACTTATAATTCTAAGAATACTACTTGTCATTCAGATAACTTGATCACAGTATTTCTTATATATAAGCTATGTTTTACCTTGCAATTTTAGATTAAGTTCATTGGGAAATGTAAAATCTGTAGCAAAAACTAGTTACCAACGCACTTTAGTGTTCAGTAGTAGAAGTTAAAAATATGTCAAATTAAGCATTTATCTGCTCCACACAGATTTTTATCAAAATTAGTAATAATGTATCTTAGTAGATTTCAGATCATGTTATACTGAATTCATGTTTTTTTCATGTTGTTTGTGAGTGTTCTCTTCTGTAGATGTACCATGTTCATAGGGGGCTAACTCTTTAACCACTTCACACTTAGCATTGCCTCCTCACTAACAACTGAACCTAGTAAGAGTCGATGAAAACCATTTTAAATCATTTATCCTGTTTTTCTAGTTGCCTATTGATGTTACTACCAATGTCCTCAATCTTTTGAGCAACTACTTTCACCAAAAGATTTATATAGTAAACCAGTTTGTTTTTTCTGGATACATTTATTTGACTACTGCTATAAAACATAATTCATCATTGGTAAATGGCTTTCCTTGCTTGACTATGAAATGTGTTACTTAGAAATTTGCTTAGGTTATAATGTTATCATTTGGTGCTTTTGTGAAGAATTCTGCATGGTGATGTACTCTGTTTTAGAATTTAAAAAATTTTTCTGAGTGTTGCTTTCCTCTGAGTGGAGAATATTATGATGAGTGCATAGTTTAGTAATGTTGATGTATCTGTCTTCTATTCTTTTAGCATTCCTGGAATGTTACTTCATAATAAACACAGTGCTTTATCACCTAATTTGATAACAGGATAATTGATATTACTCTGTTCATTGCAAGTGTGACATTCAGATTCCACTTATCTCTTCTTATTTTTACATGATGTGTTTGTATTATTAATTTTTTAAAATGTGGTACAGAAATATATGTGGAAACTGAAACATTGAGTTATGATTTAATACTGCAGTTTATAGTGTGTCAGGCAGCAGTGTAAATTGATGAGAGTGACACATGGTCTTTTTTGCACCTACTCATCTTTCTTATTATAGCACGAAAGTGGCCATAAATATACATTAAAAAATGAGCGTGACTGTGTTCCAATAAAACTTTTATTTATGGGTACTTGATATTTTAGTTTCATGTAATTTTCACCTGCCACAAGATACTCATTCTTCTTTTGATCCTCCCGCCCCAAAACATTTGAAAATGTAAAACTACTTTTAGCTTAGGGCTTTATGATGAGGACAGGTGGTGGGCTGTATTGCCCTAGTTATTTGGTCCCTTCTTTGTCATACATTGTAACTTAAGAGATAGGCTTAAATTGAAAGGCTTCCCTAAACCTTCTAGGGAGAAATTAATTTAATTTTTCTTCTCATACTATGCTGTTCACATTTGTAATATAATGCTTAACTCATTGTATTAGTATAATTAATCATGAATTTGTCCATCTTCCCACTGGCCCTTTGGGGAATGGTAGAGATCATTTTGTATTCATTTTATTTGGTTAGAAAGAGGATATAACCATGTCTTTTATACAAATGTAGAATGAATACATGCCAAAGATATTTAGCTCGATAATTAATGAAGGAATTATTCAGGTGTTAAAACTGGTTCAGAGATCCAGAGCACCTTTTATAGATCTATGTGCTAAAATACATGCAAATGGATGTAAAACTGGTCAGTTTTGCTGAAAATAATTTGCATTTCTTATATATAGAAATTATGTGGGTTATTTTTATCAGTTTTCTATAGTTCAACTTCCATCTCCACAGAGTTGTAAATAGTCAAAAGACAAACAAAATCCCATAACCCTTATTGATTCAGGTAATCCTGAAGCTGCCACCATTCCATGAAAGGATAGTCAGAATATTTTTTGCCCATTTAAATATCTTTCACAATTTTTCTCTATAAATTTTATTACCTCTGCCAAATACACTGAATGAAAAGAAACTTCACATTATTTTTTATTTGGTGGTTTGTTCTCTTGTATTAAAATGCATGCAATATACATGTGATATTGTTGAATTCCATACTGATTTATCTAAAGCAGCTATGGAAATTACTGTTTATATCAAATTTTAATGCCTTGTTATCTTCTTATTTTTACATTGCAATTTCTTCATGTGTAAGCTCCTTGAGGAGCTGTCATCCTTTCATTAAAGAAAACAAGTATCACAATCAATAAAGAATGCATTCTCAGATTGCAGAAAGTGTACAGGAAAGGATATAAATGAGATTATAAAGCACTATTTTACTAACCTATCTCTAGAAAGTTGTGTTCATTTTAAACACTAAGTAATAGCAGAGAAAGTTTGGGACCATTCTGTGAATAATAACTTAAGTGAAATATCACTTTGAGAGAGAGATTAATTCTTTTTTTAAAAATTTTTTAGTTATACATGGGCACATATCTTTATTTTGTTTTTTTATTAATTATGTGGTGCTGAGGATCAAACCCAGTGCCTCACATATGTGAGACAAACGCTCTGTCTCTGAGCCACAACCCCAGCCCAAGAAATTCATTATTAAGAGAAACTCACATAAAATGTTTCCCCAAAACAATTCCATGCAGCTAATTTTTTAGTGTAGCAAAGTTGGACGTGGTGGGGCATGCCTGTAATCCCAGCTGTTTAGGAAGTTGAGGCAAGAGGTTCTCCAATTCAAAGCCAGCCTCAGCAACTTATTGAGGCCCTAATTTACTCAATGAGACCCTGTCTCTAAATAAAATACAAAAAAAGGCTGGGGATGTGGCTCAGTGGTAAGTGCCCCTGCATTTATTCCCCAGTACCAAATAAATAAATAAATAAATACATACATACATAGGACTTAAACGTCAAATTTTTCTGCTTTGTATGGTGCAGCTAGAATATTAGTTTTTTAAAAAAATATACGTTATTAAAAGAGAGCTAAAAAATTTGAATTTTAAGAGTGTAAGGAATTTTATATACAACGATATTAAAAATCAAAACAGCAATAAAATCCTAAAATAGG